ATTATAAAAATACCCATAATAAATATTGTACTTGATAGGTATAGCATTATGTTTTAAAATGTGTCTAACACTTAAATTTTCATAAATATCTGCCATACAAAAATGGTCAGAACATACTAAGGCTTCTTTCATTTTCATAATGTTTTCCTCCACCAAGCATATATTTTGCAGCCAAATTCTACTTTAAATAATTTCTCTAGGAAACCTGATCAGAAAATATAGAACATTATTATTTAAATAAACAATACTAGTGCTAAATACCTTTACACTGTTAAATAAATTAAGCCTTATTCCCTGTATATGCCTACGTCTATGCTAACATAATCTTATGAAATGACCGAATAACATTCTTATTCTGCGTATTTCGACACGCTATACACTTCCTCTCCATCGTAAAAGTCCTTATTAAAAATTTCAGGGTTTAAATTATTCTTGAAAACTACAAAAAACCACAAAAAACACAATAAAACTTGATCTGTCACTTTGACAACATCAGCAAAATGTCTTAGGTTGCCAAACTTAAAGGATATATACCAGAATGGTTAATATTCCCATATGATACACATGTAAAAATAGCTAAATAAAAGTCTTAAGTGATTGCAATTAATAAAAAAACTCATATTGATGCTTTCAATTCTTTGTTTCCTATTTTTATTAGATTGTATTAAAGGGAATAGTAACTTTTTTAATAAAAATTTAATATTTGATATTTGATGATAGAGATCCGACAACATAGGAAGAGCGTACCGTCAAAAAAAAGTAGCGGACAAGTGTAATGTATACAAGGCTTATCTATTATCCGATATCTTTGGTGTCAACCAATAAAAATTGTTCAGAAGAGAGATAATTTAATTACGAAAATAATCGAATTCGCTCCGTGCGCGACAGCAGCACCAATTCGTGTTGATACTAATGGACTATTTCTGCGTACACTGACAAATGCAACTTTTAATAGAATTCGTAATTAAAAAGTATATATGGTAGTTTTAATAAAAGTATATGGATTTGTAAAACAAGTAAAACATTAATTTATTATTATTATATATTTTTATCGCTTAAATTAAAGAAAATTATGTATAATCGATAAAAATCAATAATAAAATATAGGCAGGCAACAGTATTTACTGGAAAATGTATGAGAAGTTGCCTAAGTCTAATAAGTTTTCATTAAAGAATTACTCTAATCTGTCAAAATAAAAAAATACCATTTAATAATAGCGTGAAGTTAAAATGTAGAAAAAAAGGATCATTACTTATATTTTCATTTTTGTTCGAAAGAAAACATAGAATGAATGATTAAAACTGATTTCCCATCAGTAAGTTACAAAATTGCGTTCCAATCAAAGGCAGAAATCTTGAAATCTAGTCCTTGCTGAATGAACATTTAAGAATAAGGGATATTAAAGAACATGGTAAAATGATAATTTATTGTCGATTTAAAACCTTTCAAGTTTCTGATGTCTACTATTTGCTGCATTACGGTTATTATTACAAAAATAAAGGTAATTTTTCTTCTTATTGTATATCTATCCATTTATTTCTTTGATTTAATTTCCACTTTGCTACTGAAATTTTTTATATAAGTTTCACTGTTTCTTTGGCTAGTATTTGTTCAATTTTTAACACAGCAACTCCGGTTGCTTATTGTATTGTTTTTACCTACTTTTTTTGAAAAAAAGTAAAATGTATACGTGTATTTGATATGCCAAAATTACAAAATATCGCCCTAAAATGCACGAATTATCCGCAGCTAGCGCAAGTATCGCTTTTGCTTCCCTTTCCATGACTTCGCTCCGTGCGAAGTCATGGAAAGGGAAGCAAAAGCGATACTAGCGCTAGCTGCGGATAATTCGTGCATTTTAGGGGGATATTTTGTAATTTTGGCATATCAAATACAGTTCATCAAATTTCTAGAGGCTCTCGACGGCTAGACAGAGAAAGCACTACTGACAGGCATCCCGACGGATTTACGCAATGAAAGTACACTCTGCGCATCAAGTATTTCACTATTTCATTCAGACGTAAATGTCAGATGTAAATTTCGCTAAAACATTTCTTTTATTTTCGTTTGTGTTTTTTGCTCATTACAGTTTAATAGAACCTAAGTACGGAGTTTAATAGCAAATTAAGAGGCCGCGTGATTAACAGTCAATCTCGCGAAAAAATAGCCAATGTTATAGAGTTTATGAGAAGAGAAGGAAACTTTAATTCACCTTCAATACCATTTAAAAATGTAAATGATCGTATTGCTGCAGCCACAGGAGTATCTAAAAACACTGTCGTCCGCATTTCTGGAGAGAAAAAAAGAATCGATAACCGTGAGATATCGGAATTTTCATCACCAAGAAAAACCATTAAAAAACCAAAAACAGTTAATGATATAGATGAAGCTGCACAAGAATCAAATTTTATTTTTTTATTATTAGATAGCTATTTTTGTTTCTGAGTTGTGTTCATTTACAGGCTCAATTTTTTTCCGTTTCTCCTTTTTGATTTTATATGGGGTTTCAAGTTGTTTTTGACTTATTTCGACGTAAATCACAACAACACACTTTTTTAATAAAGCAAACAAGTGTTAAGAGGTATATGTACGTGTAAACTACAATTACAAAAAATTGATATGAAACCCATGAAACCACCAACAAAAATGTAAAGCTAGCTTCCGTACTAGAACATGGTGTCATTCGTCGAGATAATTTATCGTTTTGTTTAATAGATCAAGAAATGTAAATATTCCCCTGTTATTTTTTATAAAATTATAAGAGAAATAAATTTTTTTCTAAATAGTATAGTTTATTATTTTGTAGAAAAACAAAATTTCGAAAATTTTAGTAATGTTTCAGAAACAACCGTTATTAATAATAGGTACCATTTTCCTTAATAAGGTAGAAATAAAATATAAACTATTTCCACGATTTACAAAGGCCTACAAAAAAATTATAGGTATTTTCCGCTATTCTATAAAATTTATATTTTCTGACTCAATTTCAAAAGGTTGAAGGAATTCCAAAACACCTTTTATGGCATAATAATTATTTTCAATTCTACATACTATCTTTAGCTGCTTTTAAAAACGTTCTAAGAAAGTCCAATCAGACCAATTTAATCCCTAAACTATTCCACACTTTTAAAATTTAATTACCTAAAAATATTAAAAACTAAAATAACTTGTTTAGCAGACTGTACAATAGCTATCTTAGTCACACGTAGCGCATTCTCTGTCTGGGCGTCGAACACCTCTAGAAATTTGATGAACTGTACACGTATACATTTTACTTTTTTTCAAAAAAAGTAGGTAAAAACAATACAATAAGCAACCGGAGTTACTGTGTTGAAAATTGTACAAATACTAGCAAAAAAAACAGTGAAACTTATATAAAAAATTTCAGTAGCAAAGTGGAAATTAAATCAAAGAAATGAATGGATAGATATACAATAAGAAGGAAAATTACCTTTATTTTTGTAATAATAACCGTAATGCTGCAAATAGTAGACATCAGAAACTTGAAAGGTTTTAAATCAACAATAGATTATCATTTTACCATGTTCTTTAATATCCCTTATTCTTAAATGTTCATTCAGCAAGGACTAGATTTCAAGATTTCTGCCTTTGATTATTATATGTGGTTGGAACGCAATTTTGTAACTTACTGATAGGAAATCAGTTTTAATCATTCATTCTATGTTTTCTTTCGAACAAAAATGAATATATAAGTATTGATCCTTTTTTATACATTTTAACTTCACGCTATTATTAAATGGTATTTTTGTATTTTGACAGAATAGACTAATTCTTCAATGAAAACTTATTAGACTTAGGCAACTTCTCATACATTTTCCAGTAAATACTGTTGCCTGCCTATATTTTATTATGGATTTTTATCAATTATACATCATTTTCTTTAATTTAAGCGATAAAAATATATAATAATAATAAATTAATGTTTTACTTGTTTTACAAATCGATATACTTTTATTAAAACTAACATGTATACTTTTTAATTACGAATTCTATTAAAAGTTGCATTTGTCAGTATACGCCGAAATCCTCCATTAGTATCAAAACGAATTGGCGCTGCTGTCGCGCACGTAGCGAATAGGCTTGCCTGCAAAAACTCAGATGAAGTTCAATTTTCAGGATACAGAAAAAACTGTCTTGATTAATACAAAAGTGTGCATAGTACGACATATTTTAACAAAATGATTCTCAGTATTTTGCAAACTGTTTTTTTAATAAATCGTATGTAAAAAATTTTAATTTTTTTTCTGCATCCATAAAATGGAGTTAGCAGTTTTGAAAATTCTCTTTACGAATAGAAATCGCGGAGATTGCAGTATTTGTTATTAACTTGGAATTGCAATGGCATTAAACAAAAACGACAAACTAAGTCTTTTAAAAACAAATGTAAACTTAAAATAAAATAATTTCGTTACAAACACATATAATAATTTTTTATTATGTAATTATTCATGTGGCAAATTATTGTAGAAGCCATGATAATTGGCTGGTAAAGTTGACTTAAGATCTTCAATTTTATTTTGATGAAGACTATCCAGTTCAGCCCATGTTTTTGCACTGAGTTCTTGTCGTCTTCGCTGAGGAAGAATCGTTCATTCTTCCGACAATCGCAGTTTGTAAAATATTTCACCCTCGGGTGTATACTTTAAACCACGAATGTCATTAACCTAATAAAAAAAATAATTTAAGGAAATAAAAGAATAAAGACAACATTAGAAATAATATTTACCTTATCATCTCCAGGCTTTCTTCCAGTTCTGATACTTTTTACCATTTCAATGTTTTTAAATGACTTAAAGAAGGTATGGTCCAAATATTTTACATTATACGGTCTAGGATTCATTCTTGATTTTTTGCAGTGAAATGCGCATTCGGCTGGAACATTAATTCTTGACTTCACACGACGTTCTATTGTGGAATGCATTGAATCCACTGTCATCTGAGTGTGTCCCACTTTAAGATACTTATGTTCAATTGTTATTTAATATTGTTTTGTCAAATTAATAGCAATATTAGCTATTACGATTTTGGTATGCGCAGTCATCACTCCAAAAAACGATCTTTCTATTTTCTTCATCACTGAATGGAAAAATGTGGGTTTCAATGAAAAAATGAAAGCTAGATGAAAATTCTTCTGCATTAAGCCCCCCTTCTCCCTCGTGCCATAGATAACAATATCCATCCTTATTATTAATGTCAAAATAACACAAATTATGCACGCACAATTTCGTCTTATAGTAAAGGCTGCTAATGTGTTGGATTTTGGTGAGAGTACCACAGTCTGAGGATCGACGGTATAGACAAATTTTTCAGTTTCTTTATCTTTTTCCATTTCGCTTCTAGCTTCTCTTTTTCTTGTTATATGGTTGTTATAGTCTTCCTCTGTGATGTAGCCTTCCTTGAATTTATTAGAAATTTCGCATTCAACATTTTTTGGCCTAAATAATGACATATTTTTTTACTCAAATGCTTTTTTGAATGTAAAGCTGCCTAAAGGGTGAATAGTTTAGAGTACACACCATTTCTTTTTGTAGAATTTGTAAAGTTCTTCTTTAAGTAATTTTTGCTTGAAGAGGATATGCAGTAATGAGATTCCATTGTTGGTAATGAATCAAGAAACTCTTGTATGCTGTTGTTTTCTGTTTCAAATGGTTTCTTTTTATTTTGTTTTTCATTTCTATATACAATTGATCTTTTTTAAGAGTTTTTTTCTACATCATCAGCTTTTTCGTAATTTGAAAACGTATTTTTCCAATTTTGAATACTCCAACGACCCAAACCTACTGTATTTAAGTACATTGTTCTACAAACTCTTATTTCCTGATCGCCTGTTTTTAATTAGTACTTAAAAGTTTGAGTTCTCCTTGATTGTTCTGGTACTTTTCCATCTCTTGCCCTTTTAATAAATTCACTCTTCACACTACTGTCTACGAATACCTTTTTTTAAATTTTAAAAAGTGAGTTTAAAGCCAAAACTCGTAATTGGCGCAGTCAGTAGGATAGTGGAAGAGTCCTTTAGAAGATCCTCCTCGTTTTCAAGCGTTTATCCACTATCCAAATCAAGAACCCACCTCCAAGGGAAAACCAAAGCGAAGTTCACCCTACGAAGTAAACCAAGATTCCAGGAATGCAATACAGCATCACCCGCATCTTGTTAGCAATATATGTCAGACTCAGACGAAAACTTAGATTTAGACACTCCTACACGAAGATTTAACTCAAGTGCAGAAGAATTAGACTTACTACGAAAACTTTATTCCTTAAGAGTTTCAAATTCAAACCTAGACGAGACATTAACTCTTTGTAACATTATTGGATAAATCCCGTCCATGCCCGGTGATTTATATGGTTCGAATGAGCTAATTGCCCATTTCAGTTTATCATAGTTCACCACTTGTTTGGCTATCCTCCAATCTTCCCTGTTGGCTCTATTATGAGCTTCCAGTCCGTTTAGATTCTGGTTAGCCGTTGTGTGTGCTATGGTTTGTGCACCAGGGAAGTGAACCCTGAAGAGTTCCCTTACTGTTTCCTTCCCTGTGATTGTGTACTCCCCAAGTTCATTCTTAAGGGTGTTTATTGTGTGTTGTGTGTCTTTTGAGAGAATTTTTTGGAGCCTGGCACATTCTTGAGTGCTTGCTATCTCCTCACAGTGCCTTCTCCAAGACTCTCTCTTGACTTTTCGTAAAGCTATGTTGTAACAGGTGCGTATGGTTCTATATAGTTCCCATTCGCCGGTTATTTTAGCCTTATTAAATTTTTTGTCTCACCTGTTTCCTTAGTATAGCCAGGTCATCATTCCACCATGGAACTTTCCTGGTAGAGTTCCTTGCTATTAAGGGACAGGTATCGTTGAAAGCGCTAGTGACTGTGTCATTAAACTCATCCACAGCCATTTCTAGGTCGGTTGTTGTTCTTATCGTCTTTCTCATCTTCGGAAGATTACATTCCAGGGAAGCATTGTATGCCTCCCAGTCTGTTTTCCTGTGATTCCGATAAGTTTCTTTTGCAATATTACCTTTAATATTGAAGTTTATGTGTCTGTGATCTGATAAACTCTCTTCGTCAGACACATGCCAGTCTGTAACAAAATTACTCAAGTATGTTGATGCTATTGTTACATCTAGTACCTCCTTTCTGTTTTTTGTTATAAAGGTCGGTTTATTGCCTACATTTGTTATGTCTAAATTATTTGCCATATTAAATTGTAGTAAAGACTCACCTCTTTCGTTGGTATCGGTGCTCCCCCAGATCCTGTGGTGTGCGTTTGCATCACAGCCAATGATCATCTGCATTCCGTTGCGCCTGCAGAATCTCACCAGCTCCTCCACTTCTCTGGTAGGTGTTGCTTCAGGATCGTCTGAAGGTAGATATGTCGATCCGAGTATTACCTCCTTCGGTCCATTTCCTGCATCGATCTTGATTCTGACTGCTGTCAAATCTCTTGAACAGAAATTAGTTAACGGCAGTATTTTTATGCTTTTTGACAATTATGCAGGTTCGAGGGGTGTCTGTGGATCTGTCATATATTAACTCTCCACCCAACCCTCCTAAACCTCTTATTGTACCGTGTCTAATCCACGGTTCTTGTACCAGGGCCACTTCAAACCTCCCCATCGCCACTGTAAGTACCGCCGAAGCAGCTTTACAGTGCTGGAGGTTGATCTGGATTATCCTGATCCTCGCCAGGCCGCCTTAGGACCCTGAAGGTCACCCTTCCTAGCTTATAATAGGCCCGGAATTGTGACCTCTCGAGGGCCCTGTACGACGCTTCGTCAATTGAAAAGGCTAGGAGTTCCCCTCCCTTTTCAATTTTTCTGCTCATTAGAAGCCAGTCCGGCGTCTTCAGTTCCGTATTCTGGAGCTGAAGAAGTCCCCTGACTTTTTCAACCTCGGACTCGTCCGGGATGAAAACCAGAACCCTGGGTCTTCTCGGGAGGTCCTTAGATTCAACCACGGTCAAATCCGCAGCCTCCCAAAGGTTTCCCAGAGTGCTGACCGTCCTCCTTAACCAGTCCGCGGTCTGCTGGTTAGCGCAGGTCATCCAAATGACTCCTGCGCTAAACGATGTTTTGTGGAACTGTGATGCTCCTCCACTGCCTGAAGGGGTAGCGTAGAGCCTTTCCACAAGAGTTTCTTGTACCAAGTCTCCTTGTTCTTGGTCTAGAGTTGTGTTTAGTTCGTTTACTAAATTTTTCTGAAGTCAATATTTTCAAACAACTTTAATTATCCTCTAGTATGCAAATGGCCTCTTTGGATTCCTTTTAAAGTTCCACCAAAATTCGATTAAGCCATATGGCTTCCTGTGTAGTTTACGCCAGTGCAACGAATTCAGCCTCTGTTGAGAAGAGAGCAAGGCATGTTTGCTTCTTGCAGCTCCAGCTAATGGCTTCTCCATTAAGCATAAAAATGTAACCGCTATTCGATTTTCTCTCTTGTCTATTTTCAGTAAAACTAGCGTCTGCATAACCGTAAAAACTGTAGCTATTTTCTTTGTATTGCATATTGTGCGACTTAAGAAGAGTTTCAGTTTTTCCGTGCCCTTGAAATATTTGACTAACCTTTTGAGTTCTGTTCAGTCTTATTTTGTAGGTTTACTAACCTTTCTGGCCAAAATTAAGACGCTAGCTGCAACAATTCAAAAAACGGCGGTCCATGATGATTCACTCACGCGGAGATTAGCGTAGAATAGAAATGTCGGAACAATTCGGATGGCGTCGTGGAAACAATGATTTTTAATTAGTAGGTTACTTAAGGTTGGAATAGACTACATGCGCTATGTGCAATGTTAAATCTCCGGTCCCTTTGATCTAAGCTCAGAACAGAAGAAGACATGACAAATTTATATATCTCACTTCACTTTTATTTACTAAAAGCCTTAGGGGTATGCCATTATTACTAAGCTAAATAGCTGCATATCCATATAATACACAAGAACTTTAAAAATAATATTCAATAATGAAAAATAATTTAAAATAATCCAGCGGTACCTTAATTATTATTTTCCTTTGAAAGGAACGCGGAAATAATTTTAGAAAATGTATTTTTTCTCGAAACTCGCTTCAACTGAGATATCTTTTTGGAGGAGAGCAGTATAAAAATTTTTATATAACTATTATCTATCGATCGGATAGAGGGTGGCACATGTTTTAAATTCTTAAACTTTTTTATAACGTAAAACGCAAGCAATATTGTCGCGGCTGCTGACAGATTACTATTACACAATATGTTACCCGACGTCTCCCATGGAAATTTACCCCTACCAGTGATCGAATCAATATTTTGCAATGGGCTCCTATGCTATAAATTTTTATTTTATTTTTAGATTTTATTTTGATTTTTTTTTGTATAATATGAAATGTTTGTCTTTTCATCTAATTTTATTTGTTTTCTAAATTTTTGACAGTTTATGTTTGTTAGAGTTTATGTTATATAAAAAGGTTTTTTTTTAGTAGTCCCAATAACTAATAACTAAAAAAATCTCCCCCGTCGTCGTCGCCACGCTTTTCTCTCTTGTAAACCTGACAACCCTAACTATATCCATAACTGTATCCTCACTAGTGTATGTAAGGTGAAGAGGGTGAGTTGCCCCTACAAAACTTAAGCCTCATTAGACCCATTTTATTTCCTCCAGGAACACAAAGGAATCGCTTAACAGCTTATCAATAAACCAACTGGTTGATTAGGTCGCGAAGAGGTGTCTCTAAGAACTGCCTTTCAGTTCGTTTAAAAGCCAGATAATTCCTAACGTCGCCGAGAGGTGTCCAAAGACGGGACTGCCTTTCAGCTCGTCAAAAAGCTTACTGTTTGATAAAGTTGCCAAGAGGTGTTTTCTTTTGATTCACAACAATGGCCATTTCGTGAGCTGCTACCAACCAGATGATAATGGCCCGGGTGGACCTAGTCTGTCCGCCCGATCTACTAAATGACAGTACGACATTGAGATGACCACTTGCTGAAAGCATGCGTTATGTGGAGACCAGTCGTTACTGTGTAGTCAGCTTGTGTGACAACGGGTGAACGACAATGCTAGTGATCTGTCAAGGAATCCAGAATTCACCTTCAGTCTTTCCCTGTTCCAAAATAGTTTCCCAGTAACACCTTTGTACGTCATCATCAACTAATAGTCCCTCAGCTGACTGCGAAGAGTGGCACGTCGTTTCTTGTTCGCTCTTTGTAGCCGGTTGCAGCAGAACAAGCCCTTTTTTTCACCATCTGTTTTTTTTTTTTTAAACAAAAAGTCAAATAGGTCTAATTTATGTTGAATGGTGTAAAACTACTGAATAAAAATGCCTGCTGCTAGGGCAATACTCTTAGTTGAGAGTTATTTATACAGTCATTTTGAGAACAATCAAACCTCTTTTCCAACTTTTAGTTCCTATTTTACACTAAACAGCAGACCACTTTTCGCCAGGTTACAAAATGCTTTCTTGCATTTCATCCCTTTCGTCGGCA